CCGAATTGCGAAGTTTGTGCGCGCGGGAGTGCGAATTGTGCAAAAGGCCACCCTAAGGCTCAAAAGGTCCTATAGGGATCCCTTTTGGGTTCCTCATGTTGGTTTCATCCTTCTAAGTGTTAGAAGTCAATACCACACACGCGAAACCACAAAAGAGTACCGAAGCGGGTTGAATTTCTAGAATGAGGCGGGTCTCATTTCTAAGGTTCTAAGATAGTCGAAGGGAGGTCCCTAAGGCTAGATCCTAAATCCTAAGAGAAAGATTAGACCTCACTAAAAATGAGGTCAACATATATCTGTGTGCGTGTGCGCGCACGCTCTTATTTTATTAAATTATATGCTATAGTCAAAATATAGGCTCTCTCAATTACATTTCTGTTACTTGTGTCATACCCATCATGAATCCTCTCGCAATTGATGATATTAGAAATGATATGTTCATTTAAGTGACTTCCAATAAATATTCATTCTTTTTAAGTTTATGTTGTTGATTGTTCATTTTTTCTGTGATTGATTTTTAAGCTATCTTCTAATACTCAACTCGAGAAGCATAAGCATTTGCCACACTTATAATGTCATCATCGGTATCATGAAGACAATCACCCTACTACAAGTCCCATTCACTTTCCATTTCTGTTGTTAATCCTTTTAATATACATATCTTATAACTTTCGCAATGTCCTTGAATTCTCCTCTTTACTATTTTCAATTTTGTGAACAAACAATCTTTATTTTTTTTCCTAGACAATTTATCTACCAGTGCACTTGCCTTACCATTCAAGCTTCTCAAATTCTATGTAGCAAATCTAGTATAAGCTTTAGGCCTGCTCAGCTCTTGCTTAATTTTCATCACAGTTAAGGGATCTGGTGTGTCATTTTTGATGAGGTCGTTGCCATGCTTATTTTTCGCCATATCTAAATTAAGTTGTACATTCTCATTTAGGGATGTTGCTATAGAAATCCCCTTATTTACTTCTTACTGCAGAAACAATAAGCAAAATTCAAATTTAAAATAATTTCATTATTTTTAGCACATTAATTTTATGATTAGCTATCAGCCTAACAATCAGCACCTCCCTACCTTCTCATATGGGCTTGAGCCTGGCAATGACTATTTTTTAGTGCATAAATTACCGAGATCATAAATAGGAGGCTGGTGAAAGTGGTGGAAAATGATACGTTTATTTATGAAATCATATATTTTGTAAAGAGCATGTTGAAGATCTCTTGCCATATAATATTTTGGTGGTATATTTATATTGTATATTGCCTCTTTATTATTAAATATATGGTTTCTGCGCTTGCATTCTTTTATTTTGCAGCTTATCTCATAAGTCAAGGAAAGATGATATTTTAGTTTTGTTTTTTAGGAAAATGATTGATTTATCTGTCTAGGATTCTTGAAATCTCACTCTTAGGCCATGTATTATGTAATTTGTGAATTTTTAATGATTTTCTTACATCATCACTGGTGTAAACCTCGTTTATCTTATCCTATGCAGCTTAATTCAGCAGACGCAGAAGCTTTTTATGGAGAAGAGTAGCCCTGATGATACAAGAAATGTATCCATCTTTTCCATTTTTAGCAATTGATATTACGTAATGGCTTTTATTAAATGTAGCATCTGTTATAAACTTTTGGGGCGTTTACATGCATATCACACAGTTATGTTTTTGCATATATAACATCTGTATATTCATATTTCCATGAATATCACTCAAGTTTTTAACATCACATCAAAGATAGGACAATCATTATCTTTTTAAAAGTGAAATACACCTTTTTTTATGTATAGGTTTGTAACACCTGAATGGTATAATTGTAACAATTATCAAACTTTGGGTGTTAGATATGTAAATAAATAAGAATTGTGATAAATTTTCCTGAATTTTTTAGTCTTGATTTACTGGCTAGTATTGGCGTTAACTGATTGAGATAATTGCTAATATACACTTTGTAGTTTTTTATGCCTAAAATAATTTTGACATGATAAGGGTCTTCATTTACATCATATTAATGACCTCTGTTACCTTTTGATTACATTAGACGAAGTTATATGCTGACGTTATGGTCATATTTATTTTTTAAGCCTATATAGTGCTAGCTATCTTCTTTACTGGAATCACTTAGGGCGCTGAAGCTGTATCGCCGTACATGGCTGAATCTGTAGATAATTGCTAAGCTTGATAATATCAAAACGTGTGGTGTAATTTACTACAAGAATCTTGGGCTGGAATTTTGGGGTGGGGATGAACCTCCTTAGTTTAAACTCAAAGGCCAACAACTTTTCGGGCTGGAATTTCGGGGTGGGGCATGAATGGGGAATGTTTGAGGGGATGGCGATACATTTGATCATGGTCCCTATAGTTCTATCATCTTGGTATACCAGCTAATCCATTTACGGATTTCAAAGAGCTTTAAGATGTAATGTCTTAAGGAATTTGATTAGCAACATCGCAAGCAAATCAAGTTGGAAATGTATCTATGTCAAAGAGGTGCTTTTGAGCTTTGTGCTAACTCATTTACTAGTAGAGGGTTTCCTGTATCCATTTTTGTTTAATTTTTTAGAGGCGAGGCATGGGTTCAATGCAATTCTAAGGTACTAATTGTGGCCAAATAGAGCTTCATGGCGCTACCATTAATCTTCATGTGTTTTGAATATTGATTGGATTAAAGATCAACAATCATGGTTGTTCACAATAATCAGATCAAAGATCAACGACCCTGCGTACTAACCACTCTTCAAACTAACCAGGTAGAAGCGATTCTTCAAAATATTATGTTATGCATGATGAAGTTGGCCAGGGAAAGGATCAGAAATTATACTTGTACTTGCACATGAGGCAAACGAGCAGTTAAATGTTTTGTTGTCAGACTTGAGGAAGTCAAGCTCATTATTGCTGATTTTGAATTGAAAGCAAAGCCATGTGAGGAGGGAAAAAAAATTTGTGTGTGGGAGACCAATTGAGCAAGAGTGTGGAGGCTTCACGCGAGGTAGAGAGGGAGGGAGAGGAGCTGAAAGCTAGAGCAAGGGGTGCATTGCATGTGTGCTAGGTCATGCATTAGGGAGTACAAGGGAGATAGGTTGCATGGAGTGGCTAATTTGGAGCGAGAAGTTGTGCAGGAGTCCAATGAGAGACATGGAGAGGCATGGAGAGGCGGTTGGTGAGAGTTTATAGGAAAGGGTGAGATGAGTGAGATCTAGGTGAGGAAGAAGTGTTTACTTTGAAAAAAATGTTGAGATGGGAGATAGAGATGCTATCTTCTATAAAAGACTACCTGCAGACCAGAAGGTCTTGAAAGAATGTTAAGAGCTCTCTTCCTAATGGACACAAAAATAACCATTCCTCATAGTCTCTGTAGAGGGTAAACCATCACATGAAAACTAGAAGCTCAAGGCTACAAGGAAGTGAAGAAAGAATATGGACAAGAAACAGAAACAAAAAGGATCAAGAGCTCATTGCCGGAGCATATTATCTAAAAATGGTAGCTATGATCTGAGAGGATCTTTTGTTAAGTTTTTTACATCACATTATTGGATATGAAGATGAAGTCATGAAGAGTCTGCATGTGAAAATGGATCACCAACAGAACATCATACGAGGGAGATTAAGGCTCGAAAACCTGGCTGTTGGATTGCAATATAGATTAAAGTAGATTAAGGATGAGTTTCAAATGTTTATTATTTTCTTCGAATTTTGGATTTACTGTAGAAAATACAAAGTTGTTCCTTGTTTTATGGAATTAGTTTAGGAGGGGCAATATTCCATTCAATTTTTATAGAAGATAAAGTTTAGTTCAAATTAATTACATTTATGTAATATAACATGCACTGTTTTATGCAATGAAAGCCAATCCTAAATTATTTTCTTATTCCCCACCTTCCGTCTTGGCTTGACATTTCAACAAAACTAGCGTTATAGCAAAAGTCATAGCAGACCATGGTATTACAACAAAGATACAATAATAGTTTGTGACAGCTACGATGTTGTAGCAAAAAATCAAACTTGATGCTCTAGCTGAAGAGTTTGATGGTTTATGGAGTCGACCGAGTCTTGCAAAATAAGTGAAGAAAAAGCTATTACTTTTCTTTTTTTTTTTTTAAGGATAATTAGGAGAAATAGTTTTGATTCATTTATAGTTTCTTTAGGAATCCTAGTCTTCATCTTCAAGTTTCAAACGTCTTTAGCACAAATTATTTAAGACAAGTGCGACACCATTAGAAAAAGGGGTTTATTTTATTTTATTTTATTGTGATGGGGTTGCTGGGGTGGGTTTTGGGGTTGGGGATGAGTGTTAACTAGAACAAAGGTTACATCTATTTGTCATCATTTGAATTTACTTTACAACTTTAGAAATTTTAGTCAAGATTAAGGCATGCAACTACCGCTGCAATTTGTATTAAAATCTAGCTTGACCTTGGATTCAGAAAGACTCTTTAGCCCTTAGTTCAAAATGATAAATTTGTCTTTCCGAACCTAAAAAAAAATCACCTAATCATTTGTCATTATTATTATTATAACATCTATTATTCTAATTCATCACCATGAATTATATAATCATAGCAATGAGCTAGGCAATCTTTGAAGTTAAACTTTGGAAGAGAAAAAACCCAATATAAGCCAATAGTCAACAAAACTACTGTTTTAGCTTCAAAAATCACCCAATGATTCGATTACATTTTAAATAATTTCAGTAGGCTGACTCAGATAGTTAATACTAATGATGATGTTGGCAAATAAAATTCAATGTTTAATAGGAACAGTAAACAACATTCCAAATAATCAACAGAGGATTTAGATACTTTGAAAGAGGGATTACCTTTGAAGGTAGATTCTAATGGGTTATAATTTTTTTATCATTTCTACAGTCCTGTAACATATGATGAATTTTGTCTCACTCAAATGGGATATTCTATTTATAAGAAATATTTTTAGATATTAAATACTTGCATAATCACTCTTTTTCTTTATCTAGTCAATATTGCAATTCTACATGAAAGAGGTGATTAAACTGATAGAGCAAGACATCGCGCGCCCTATGGACTAATTTTTTTTTTTTTCCTGATATTCAGATGGGTTTCCAGTTTGCGGGAAGAGCTGTATATACTGCTGTATGGATTGCTGCTGTTTCTTTGTTCATGGAGTTACTGGGTTTCTCAACCCAGAAATGGCTCACTGCTGGAGGTCTTGGAACAGTGCTGCTAACACTGGCTGGACGTGAGGTATCATATAGACTTTTGTTTGCTCGTCATCTTCCTTGGATATTTTTGACTACATGGATAATATTGCAATGCAGATATTTACAAACTTTCTGTCTAGTATTATGATTCACGCTACTCGTCCATTTATCGTAAATGAATGGATCCAAACTAAGATCGAAGGGTATGAAGTCTCTGGAACCGTCGAGGTTAGATTTGAATATACTGTTAAGTTTTTAATTAATCAATCAGAATCCTCTTCTTTTTTTTTTGTTTTAATTTCTTGGCTATGATTGCTATTTAAACTATATTTTAATTGTTTTTTAAAGATAAGGAACCAGTTCTTTACGGTAATTATACTCAACATTGGTTTATTCCCTCTCAGCATGTGGGTTGGTGGTCTCCAACTGTTATTAGAGGTGAAGATCGTGAAGCGGTTCATATTCCTAACCACAAATTTACAGTTAACGTTGTGAGAAATCTTAGTCAGAAGACTCATTGGCGTATAAAAACTCATCTTGCAATCAGCCATTTGGATGTTAATAAAATTGGTGTAAGTATTGCTCTGTTTTTTTTTTTTAAGAGTTTCATTGAATTTTTACTACATTTATGCTATTGCTTTGAAGTTATTGTTTTGTGTAGTTCTGCCTCAGTGCTTAGTCTTGGACTCTTGAAATTTATTGTTCTATGCAGAACATTGTAGCCGACATGCGAAAGGTGCTGGCAAAAAATCCTCAAATAGAGCAGCAGAGATTGCACAGAAGAGTATTTTTGGATAATATTAATCCAGAAAATCAGGCTCTCTTGGTAAAACACTGCCCAGTTATATAAAAAAATGCATATCTTTATCACACTTTTGAGTTTGTTTGTTTGGTGGTGCTGCAGCATTGAACTGTTTGTTTCAAATTGAGCGTGGCAACTTTGTTTCCAAATCAGATACATTTCTCTTCCAACCTTAGTCCTACCCTAAAAAGTGTACCTCTGACCCTCACATCTTTTCGAACTATTATGGCTTTTGCTAATATCATATTTATTATTTTGACATAACCAGTGGTACGGAATGTACTCTTGAATTTAAACACATCCATGGTAGAATGAAGTGTTATTTTTCCTAGATGCATGCATACGGAATATACATATGAAGGAAGATTGACTAAATGAGTAAAGTGTCAAACTAGCCTTTGATTTGCTTACATGGGGCCATTTTAGTCCCAGAGTCTATAAATATGTCAAATTCTTCCACAGATTCTTTAAGTTGTAGCTGAAATTTTTTATGTCAAATTCTTCCACAGATTATTTAAGTTGTAGCTGAAATTTTCTTTCGCGGGGGTCGTATCAGCTCATATTAAAATGGTCTGGAGATTAAATTGACATTTTTATAGATTTTGAGACTGAAATGATCCCCTGTGAAGAGTCAGGAGACTATTTTGACACTTTTCTTTTGCCTAAAATACTAACCTTTTTTTAATCATTTTAAAGAGATTTTTACTGGGATACAAATATAAATTTACTTAATTATCTGGAACATTTTGAAATCTTTATTTATATTCTATCCCAAACTAAACTTCTAGCCCATGCAATATTATAAGCATTCCAACATGAGGATTATTAGTGGGAAACATCATGTTGTTGAAAATGGCGGTTTGTGGTAGCGATGGCAATCATTTAAGCTTGGCATTGGCTAGCTAGAGTTGATGGATAGGAGCATCATCCTCACGGATCGAGTCACTTGTGATGTTGAAGGTTGGGGATGAAGAATAAAGAGGGAGGTAGATCTATGGAGGCTTGCCATATGTCAATGTACATATGGATGGGTTGATGCCTGCTATGTTTCTATGGTTTCGTCAATGCTACTATAGTTAACTCATAAGGTTGAATGAAGACATAAAAATCAGAGAACTTTCTTTATGGATTTGATTGAAGGAAACGAAGCGACATTATGTCTGTGATTTAGACGTACTAATTTCATCAAACCCTTATTTCATGAAGATCATTAAGTTTATATCTTGATGCCAAATGTCCAGGTGACCTGAATTAAATATTTATATTTTTTTAATGATGTTTCAATAAACCCTTTTATTGGATTTCTTGTGAAGGATCTAAATATATCATTAAGGAAGATCTCTTTAACAGTATCATTTTGGTTGACTTCTCTGTTTTCCTTAACCCACAACCAGCCTCCGAACTTCAACTTATGGCTTCTTTATACTTGAAACTATGCGTAATTAAGCAAAATCCAAATTTGTAATTCCGCTTTTTGGATGGTTTGATTTCTTTGTAATAAATTCAACTTACCCATGCAATTTTTGGTCTGGAACATTTCTGAACATTTCGTGTTATAATTTCAGGCGTTCAGATATTTTATTTACCCAATGATTTTGATCTGTATATAGAGTTCCTTTTATAACCTTCAGTTTCTCTTTGCACTGTATTTGCAGATTCTTGTCTCATGCTTTGTTAAGACTTCACATTTTGAGGAGTATCTGTGTGTCAAGGTAAGAATTCTTTGTTTCTCAAGTATGTAAAGGAGCAAATTCAAATATGCAATTTTGGCACTTTACAATTTTGGCACTTTACAAGGAGATATTAGCGTCAGAAGTTGTTTAATATGATCTAACTTCAAAAAAATCTATGAATTTGATGAATTACTACTATTTCTCCTGAAAATATGAACAGGAAGCTATCTTCTTGGATCTCCTTCGAGTAATCAGCCATCACCGAGCCCGACTGGCAACTCCAATTCGCACCGTCCAGAAGATATACGGCGATGCCGGTATTGAAAACGTCCCCTTCTCCGATACCATATTCACTCGTGCCGAAACTACCAATCGTTCACTGCTTCTGATCGAACCTTCTTCAAGAATCAACAGCGACGAAAAGGCGAAACTCCGTGCTTCTGCGCGAACATCCGATGCACAACAAGGAGCAAAACCATCCACAACATCCGAGCCGAAGGTGACCTCAGCTTCGGAAACCCTCCCTGAGAAGAATCAGCAGAAGAAGGTTAGTTCTGTAGAAGCTCAGCCGAAGAGCATGAAGCCGGACTCGTCAAAATCAACGACGACGACGATGACAACAACAACGACGCCGCATTCCGGGGCAGCTCCTCAAGTTAAATCAAGCGTGGAGAAGCCTGCGGTTGTATTGGAATCCCTTAATGAGCAGGTGGACAGCATGACTGCTGTTGTTCCTAAGAGCGAAGGGGACCGGCCATCTAATGCAGTCGTTTCGGTGCGGCCTTCGTTTGAAGATAATATCGTGCTTGGCGTGGCTCTTGAGGGCTCGAAGAGAACACTTCCGATCGAGGAGGTGGAAGCAAAGGAAGTAGGGGCTGCGGTCGGTGGGAATGGAGCTCCTGCTGCTTCCACTGGGAAGGATAGGAAGAATGATGTTCCTAACAAGTAGAGGTAACTAGTATGATTCATGTTTGTCTGTGTTTCTGAGAATTATTGGATGAAATTGGGTGTATAGAGAAATTATGTTTAAAATATTTGTGTATAATCTTCAGGTATAGAGAAATTTAATTCTTATTATACGAGCCTTAGCTACCAGATGGAAGTATTTTATTATGTGAAGGCAGAGCGATTGAATATTGGATTAGGAAGATGCTAAAGGTGATGAGATTGAATATTCTGATGTATTGCTATTACTAGAGCTGTAAATGAGCAGAGCTTGGGCTAGCTCAGGTTTGGCTCGTGTTCGAAGTTGGCTCGTGAATAGGGTGATCTTGTTCGGCTTGATATAAATATTTTTGTTCATGCTCTGCTCAATGTTAGACTTCAAATTAGCTTGTTAAAATTAATTGAAAAAAATAGATGTTGAGTGTTGGATTTGAATCTGAGTCAAATTTATGTAAAAAAAAGCGTAAAATTATATTATCACACAAGTTATTATGATTTAAACTTAAATATAAATATATATAATATATATTATATAAATAATGTATATAATATAATATTATATAAATAATTAGATGGTTTTTTTTTTTTTATGTTGAGCTAAAACGAACGGAACACAAGTGAAGAAAAAGTTGTTCGTGTTCGGCTTGTTTACTTAACGAACGAGCTGAACACAAGTTACTTAACATGATGAGTTTTTTTGAGTAAATATAAGATAACAAATAGTTTTTATATTGTTTATATGAGAATTGCATGCATACCCCTCAATTCTTAATTATTTAACTAACAACTAAATGTATAGATAAATTTGCTATATATATATATATATATGGCAAACTTACCTGTACATAAACATTAAAGTAGTGATTGTACAGTCGGCTGGATATGTACCTTTTTAGGGCTCCCAGACTCATTTATATATATATATATATATACCCTAAAATATTCCTCACTACACCTATCTCACTAGGGGTACAAGTGTAATTTCATGATAATTTGTAATTTTTTGAATTATTTATATAATTGATGAGTACTTGATTTAGTACTCAAATGATTGGCTAGTTATTCTTCCTATTTGACTTGAAAGGGCCTATCTACTGAACTAATTAAAGCCTTGAGATGAACGCACCTTATTTGAAGATTCAACGGTCGATATTTTTTTATTTTGTTTTCAATAAAGTGCCACACATCCCATCACAATCATCCACTAAAAAATTATGGAAGTTAAAAACAATCAAAAAAATAAATTGAAAGATTTACATACATACCAACTTCTCCGTATTTCATATCTAACCCCTTAAGTTTTTAAGTTGTACATATTGTTGAATTCTTTTAGGATGTAGGATTAGATATCGTTCGTAAATACATGTAACCTGATAAAAGATCTTGTATCATAGAGAGATAAGTAGAGAGACAGAGAGATGGATGAAAGTATATTGAGGAAAGGATTGGGAAATGTAGTAATTTCGAGTCTCTGGAAGCCAGAGGGAAGCGGCTCCTCAGAGGTTCCCTGAGTAACATGATTTTAGAGAGAGAAAAGAGGGAAATGACGATAGAAAACAAACTTCAAAGAGGGAGTAAAGAAGTTGGAGGTTCAAATCTCCACTCTCTTGCATTTTTCTTAGCCTTTTATACATGTGGGAGGAAAAAAAAAATGAAATAATCAAAGTATTACATCTAGTACTACACGTTAAATTTCTCCAATGTCTTGATGGAAAGACTATTTGCTAGTGAGAGGTTGACATTGCCAGCAGGTAGACATTTCCAAGTTCTTTAGTGGAAAGATTGAGTCCCAAGTGTTGGGTGACATCTTTAATAAAAGATTGATGGATAAACTTATTAGTCATGATTATTTTCCTTGCTAATTGCCCTACCACAGAAAAATTTGGTTGTCCTTTCGAGGAAGATGAGGACAAACTGATCTGCAAACATGCTCTATTCAATCACTTCGATGGATGAATTTGATTCAGCCGCTTCGACAGGTATTTTTGGATTAGCTGTTTTGGCTGGTGGGCTTTATTAGCTACTTCAGCAAATAAGCATCATTCATCAATTTTAGCAGGTAGGTTTGATTCAACCACTTTGATTATCTGGCTTGATTTTGTAAGAGAAATATAGCGAAAATTTCCTAAATGATCTCATTTTTGTATGCACATATATTTAAATAATATAAATTTTCTGGGAGGTATAGATGTAAAAAACAAAATGCAAAATGCCAATAATTCCGGGAAAAAAAATGATAAAAAAAGACTGACGGCTTCAGCTCTCTCCCAGCGGGGCCCTACACAGAGACCTGTTCCCAACACGGAAGTCAAAAGTTCAAACTTTGAACAGCTTACGCTTTCAGACTGCTTCCCATTCTCAGCGGCGAAGCCTATAAATCCAGTCTCCTCCCCAATTCTCTTCCCCAGAACTTCGACCCCCTCTTCTCTCACTAAAAGCCAGCAAAAAATTCCTCTCTCTCTCTCTCTCAGAGTTATAAAAAAGATGTGTTTTGATGCGGCAAGAATGAGCATGGAGAAATCCTCCTCCTTCAGCAAAACATCCACACAGTTTCTGCTCTCTGCTCCTCTCGACAGCACTCATAAACGCTGTAATAACAGAGCAGCAAAGTTGGAGCTGGTGGACTACGATTCCCTTCCGGAGTTCCTGAAGGACAACGAGTTCATCATCAACTACTACCGCTCCGAATGGCCTCTCAAGCAAACCATACTCAGCATCTTCTCTATTCATAATGAGACTCTCAACATCTGGACGTAAGCACAAATCAATTTACCATTTTTCTTTCTTTCACATCCAATTTCATATAAAAGATCAAATTTTTAAAAAAATTTCTTTGAATTCTATTGAATTGCAGGCATCTGATAGGCTTCTTCATCTTCCTCATGCTCGCCGGCTATGCTGCATCAGTCTTCCCATCTGTTTCAACAGCTAATCCCCTGCCACAACTCAGAACTGAAACCAATTCACCAAACACCATTTTTATCTACAGAGCAAATCAAACAACAGAGCTATCAGCATCTCCCTCTTCCCAGCTGATTGGATCCCCTGTCTCCCATTGGCCGTTCTACCTCTACCTCGCCGGAGCAATGTTCTGCCTCCTGATGAGCAGCGCCTGCCACCTCCTCTCCTGCCACTCTTCAAGAACAAGCTACATCATGCTCCGCCTCGACTTCGCCGGAATCTCCGGCCTCATCGTCTCCTCCTTCTACCCTCTCGTCTACTACACCTTCACTTGCAATCCCTTCTTCCGCGACCTCTACCTCACATCCATACCCTTCTTCGACTGCCGCGGCCGCCGTCTCCCTCGTGCCAGTGTTCGATTCACCTCAATTCCGGCCCGTTAGATCGGTTCTGTTCGCTTGTATGGCGGCGGCAGGGGTGGTGCCCATCGTCCACAAGATGATGGTTTTCGGTGATCGGCCGGAGGCGGTGGTGACGACGGGATATGAGGTGGTGATGGGGATGTTTTACGGGGTGGGGGTGGTGGTGTACGCCGCGAGGGTGCCGGAGAGGTGGCTGCCGGGGAAATTTGATCTTGCCGGACACAGCCATCAGCTGTTTCATATGTTGGTGGTTGCGGGGGCTTACACGCACTATCTGGCGAGTCTGGTCTATCTTGGCTGGAGGGAAGCCGAAGGCTGTTAGCGGACTTCCACCATGGACTGCGGACTACGCGGGAAAGAAACGGTCTTTGTGTGGGAGCTAATGTATATAATATTCATTGGTTGACTTTGTTGACAATTTATTGATTTTTTAAATTTAAAATTAAATTCTTTTGTTGTAATTAGTGGATTATTTCTAAGTGTTTTTAGCATATAAAATTTCTTTAGTTGTTAATGTAAATTACATTATTGTAGCAATGAAAATCGTTGCGTTATTGCGGTTAGATCAAATTCTCGTTGGCATTACTCTGGATGAAAATTTCTTTATCTGGGGATTTGGATCCCCTCTAGCACAACTGACTTTAAGAATATGATACTAGAATTGTTAGGCACATTAAGAGTGGCTAGATGCTTCTATAATAGTCTCTAGTCATATATATATATATATCTAATTTTTTTAAGTTATTTGCATAAATGAATTCTCCAAAGTATTTCATTGTTTCATAAAGAAATTAATTTTTTCGTTAATTCATGAAGAAAATATAAAAATTCAAATTATGGTTATTAACATGCTGCCTAATATACTTTTTAAGATTTTGAATAAGTTATTGTGGGCAATAACTCCTTATCACATGTTTGTGGGAGAATAATGTTGATTCAAAGGCTAATGCACAAGAGGGGGACCACCATCTTCATCCAAATGCTAAAGGAAACCTCATCGACAAAAATAAGAATGGTGGAAGTTGATGGTGGAGTGAATTTCATGTGATTGAGATTTTAGCTTGTTGAATCCAAAACTATCCGGAAGACACACCTAAAGAATAAAGCGTAAAAGTGGAGAAAAAAAAAGGGCAGAGAAAGCTTAGTAACGAACAATAGAATAGTGCAACTTTTATTCATGAAATGTATCTCTATTCATAGGAAGGGTTGTAAGATTGCATTATGTATCGCTTGTAAAGTAAGTAAAGCAGGGGTATTTTATCAAGTACATAATTATGTGGTCTGGAATAAGAGAATGTGTCTGGTCGGGTATGGCCAAGAGCTTGAGAAGCCGCCAGACCAGATTTAGAGCCAGGAGACCACACACAGGGAGGCTAAGCGAATGACTAGCCACATCATTACCCAGGCGACTATGACTGAAGGGTGGACCGAAACCTATTCCCGGCCGACTGCTTTATATCCAGACAGTTTTTATCATTCACTCGGCCTGATTATTGGGATGCAAGCGGATTCGTACTAGTAAAATAACTGAGTTTTGTCCGTCTTGAGACTATTTTTCTCTAGCCTACAGGAGCAGATCAGATGAATATGAGCCGTCGGATTGCCTCTAGTGAGTCCTTAACCATCACACTATCATCTCCATCGATCGCTAGATCTCTTTAATATTTATGCTGATACATCTTTTATGTACATAGCCAATATTATCTTAAAGGAGACACTACACCCAACATCTTTAAGTTTTTATCTTGCTTTTTATCGATCCATCATCCTTCTCTCATTTGTTATTTGCATTATATAATCTGTTACTTATCACAACAGTCACTTTTACTGTGATACTGATACTTGCTCTTATTGATATTCACAAGTTTATAACCAAGATGTTCTCATAATTTCTATAGACATTTACATACATACCTCCCAATTCCCGCATATTTATAACTTCTAACATAAACTATAATACTTTTAACACTTAAAAATATCACTATATTAACTTATCAAAAGTAAAATACATAATTTCATGCATACAAAAGATGACATATATATAAAAATTAAAATTTAATACGTAAATATATAGGAATTAAGTGATATTCTAAGTTATAAAAGAAACCAAATATATAATATGAAATAAAAAACATACTTAAAATCAACCTAATTAATCTAAAACCTCTTAAACAAAATCTTTCATAAAATAGCTTGTCTTGCTTACAACAAGCTAAGCTGTTCTTTAATTAGAACCAAACAAAAAAAGAAGGAAAAAAACCAAGTCAAACTTTGACCATTGACTTTTTACACTTGACTCCAAGGCTTTATCTCTTTTTGCACAAAGTCCATTGTGCCAACCAGTCGCTATCTTAAGGTTAATTTTTTTCTTAATTATTTCAATCAGCAGCTGAATGGACGAAATGAAATCCAGACTAGCAACCCTCGGCCTGTCTCCAGCCGAAGTACACCAAGCTCGCTAGATAGTGCGTATAAGCCCCCGCAACCACCAACACATGAAACACCTGATGGCTATGTCCGGCGAGATCGAACTTCCCAGGCAGCCACCTCTCCGGCACCCTCGCGACGTAAAGCACCACCCCGACCCCGTAAAACATGCCCATCACCGCCTCGTATCCCGTCGTCAGCACCGCCTCCGGCCGGTCACCGAAAACCACCATTTTGTGGACGATGGGCACCACGCCTGCTGCCGCCATGCAAGCGAACAGAGCCGATCTAACCGGCCGGAATTGAGGCGAATCGAACACCGGCATGAGTGAGACGGCGGCGGTGGAGAGGCCGAAGAATGTGATGGATGTGAGGTAGAGGTCGCGGAAGAAGGGATTGCAGGCAAAGGTGTAGTAAACCAGAGGGTAGAAGGAGGAGACGATGAGGCCCGAGATTCCGGCGAAGTCTAGGCGGAGCATGATATAGTTCGTTCTTGAAGAGTGGCAGGAGAGGAGGTGGCAGGCGCTGCTCATCAGGAGGCAGAACATTGCTCCGGCGAGGTAGAGGTAGAACGGCCAATGGGAGACAGGGGATCCAATCAGCTGGGAAGAGGGAGATGCTGATAGCTCTGTTGTTTGATTTGCTCTGTAGATAAAAATGGTGTTTGGTGAATTGGTTTCAGTTCTGAGTTGTGGCAGGGGATTAGCTGTTGAAACAGATGGGAAGACTGATGCAGCATAGCCGGCGAGCATGAGGAAGATGAAGAAGCCTATCAGATGCCTGCAATTCAATAGAATTCAAAGAAATTTTTTTAAAAATTTGATCTTTTATATGAAATTGGATGTGAAAGAAAGAAAAATGGTAAATTGATTTGTGCTTACGTCCAGATGTTGAGAGTCTCATTATGAATAGAGAAGATGCTGAGTATGGTTTGCTTGAGAGGCCATTCAGAGCGGTAGTAGTTGATGATGAACTCGTTGTCCTTCAGGAACTCTGGAAGAGAATCGTAGTCCACCAGCTCAAACCTCCCTGCTTTGGTATTACAGCATTTATTAGAACTAGTTCTGCTAACAGAAGCAGAGAGGAGAAACTGTGTTGAGCTTTTGATGAAGGAGGAGGATTCTTTCGTCTTCATACATGAAGCCGCCATTGTTGTTGCCTCCAATCCCATTTTCTCTTATTGCTCTTATCGCAATCGTTTTAGAGAGAGATGAGAGAGAGAAAGTTGATTGAGGAGGAGCGGCGGGGAAGGTTATGAATATATAGGATGCCGATTTAGAAGATGATTAGGGTTTCAGGTTTGAACGGGAAACGGTCGCATTTGGTGTAAAGTGGAATTCATACTGTTCTCAATCAGATTTTTCAAAGTTATATTTTTTCAAGCAAAAATCATATATTTGTTTTTTATACCTTTCAACATTTACAGAAATTTCATAAATGCGGCTTATGAAATTTCAATCATGCCTCATCACATGCTTCAACTCCATTGATGCGCAGAAGATCTGAAATTTCATAAGCCTCCATTGATGCGCAGAAGATCTGAAGATATCGCAATGAACAAAGAATAGAGGGAGTAAACCATTCCGCCAATGCATACAACCCACTTATTTTTTTATGTATTTACATATCTAAGACCAAAAATTTTAATTTTTATATATATATCATGTTATTTATGCATAACAATATTTTTGATATGATCTGAAATTTTGGAAGATAATGAATTTGTAAATAATAGAAATCAAAGAAAAATGGTATTTTTAAAAGCCATTCTTCAACGCTTCACTTCCCCAACCATAACTAGTCAAAATCATCAACTGGACATTGACATAACTGCCAAAATTTAACCCTTGACTATGACTTTTAATGTATCTCTGATTCAAATATTCAATTTTATTGTGCTATATGAGGGCCACCAATCATTACATATAATAGAAAACTAATAATGGAAATCAGTTGATGTGAAGAGGAAATATTTGCGTATATAAGACGTACGCAGCGCTGCGTACGTTAGGGGTTATTCTGGGGGTACAAGGGGGTTATATTCGGGTTATACCCCCTGTAACCTCCATGTAACTCCCTTGTAACCTCCGCGTAACTTATTTGTACTCATGAAACTTCATGAAACTACAGAAGTGCACAGAAGTGCGGAACTCATTTGTAGGTTACAGGTAGTTTACAAATAGGTTACAGGGGGGTATAACTCCGATATAAACCCCCTAGACCCCCTGAAGAACCCCTGGACGTATGCAGCGCTGCGTAAGTCTTATGTACTCAAATATTATCCTGTGAAGAGGGCAGAGAAGTCATCTTCAGATATAACAACTATTTTATGTTGAAATGTTCAGTGTTTGTGAACCGTGTATTATTGACTTAAACAGCTGCTCGTCCGTCGGCTTCAACTTAGGAGACTAGTAATATAACAGTGATTTGTGTAGAAATGTTCATTGCTTGTGAAATACATCTACATATTAAGAGTGTGTTGGGGTTTTTGCAGCTGTTTAATCAACAGCTGTGATATGAAGTTGTTGCAGAGAAATTGTTGTTCAAGCTATTGTGCGGTATTGGCTGCCGCTGCACTTTGGGTGTGTTTGGGGCGGCGGTGTGTTGTCACATAACAATTTTTTTTGTTTGGTAAAACTACGTGTAAGTTGTGTTTTCCCACTAGATTTGGCTACCTAAAATAACTGCTAGGGCCTGATTTTTTTTTTAAATTTGTAATAACTATCATAAGTTTTTGAACAACAATTTTCTTTTTCACCAGCATCACAGCTGCTTCTTCAAACAGTTACAGCTCCTCTAAAGAAACTCTTAGTCAAGTGATGAGGTGCAAAGCGGAGCTTCTTACTACAACTTTTTGAAAAAAATATGTGTTTTATCGAACGTCACAATGTGTCGCACCGCCACCGCGCTTTTACCCTCGAACACACCCTTAATAATAATCACATTAATGTTTCACAAAGATATAACCATCTTAAGTCCTAAAAAAAAATCATTAAATAGTTTACTAAATGGAACAAATATTCAAGATATATGCAAAATTCAGTTTTTTAATATCAAAAACCGCAAATTTGTTGTTTACATTTATACCACCCTTATTTTTTATGCTACTTGAAATAATTCATAATTTTAACTTTTAAAAAGTAATTTAAGAAGTAGCGTGCATGTATGACTTGAATTTTAGGCAATAGATATTTAAATACATAGGAATTGAGTGGTATGAATGTAAATCTTCATTATTATTATTATTATTTTCGAATTTTGTGATATGTATTTAAATTTTCCTAAAATTTAAAGTAGCATAAAACAATTGACTCAACTAACCTAAATAACTAGTAGCTTGAGGGTCTGTTTGGGGCAGCTGCAGTTTATTAAAAAACACGTGTGAAGCTGTTAAAAAATAATCTGCTGTTCAAAAAGCAGTGGTGATTATTAAATTTTTTTTTAAAAAAAAAAAATCAGCTCGTAGCTAAAAAACTGTCACCGCACCTAGATAGTAACGGTATGAAAATGCTGATTTCAATGATTTGAAAACACAGCTTTTTGAAAAAGCTGTCAAAATGCAGTTTACCAAATAGACAAATTTGCGGTGCGTTTTCAAACTGCCACCACATTTTCGCCCCAAAAAGACCATAATACACCATGTTATTTAATTTTAATTATTAAGAAATTAATTAAATGAGACCTCATGAAATTCCAATCATGCCACTAATCAAAGATCTTGCAAAAAAACAAAAGATGCCATAAACCATTCCAAGAATGCATACATACCACTTAATTTTTATGTATTTGCATATCTAACACCTAAACTTTATTTTTTTTATATGCAATTATATTTAGTCAAGGGTTTTGATGTGAAATGAAAATTTCGAATGGTATAAATATAAAATGTAAAATTTAGATATTGGATATGCAATTTCGACGAGATTGGGTGGTATATTGTTAAAAGGGCTGTCAAAATGGCTCGTTGTTCACGAATAACTCGTGTTCGGCTCGTCAAGAAGCTCATGTCCGGCTCATTCGCTAAGTTAACGGGCTGAACACGAACAACACAAACAAATATTTGTTCGTTCGTGTTCGACTCGTTCTGGCTCGAAATACTACTAATCAATTATATATTTATCTTTGATGAATAGTATTTTTTTAAAATTTAATGGACTACAAGGCTACAAAGATTTATAGTCAATTAAAATTATTAATGAAGAAAACAGAATAAAAATTATTAAATTAAATTCAAATGATGTTTTAAATCTTGTCTCAATCCTTAGCATCTTATGACTACGTGATTAGGGTTGTTAAAATGTCTCTTTGTTCGTGAACGGCTCGTGTTCGGCTCATTAAGCATACGAGCCGAACACGAACACACTTTTCAAGCTTGAAATGTAAACAAACAGAACAAGAGCTGAGCGTGAACTCGCTCGTGTTCGGCTCGTTTACACCCCAAACTATTATGCATGTAAATGTTCATTAAAAAAGAAAATAAATAAATAAACTTTTTTTTAATTTAATATTTGAGATATAAATTAATGCATAAAATCAAAGTAAATCACTCCACCAATGCATGCATACATACCACTTAATTTTTATATATTTATATACCTAACACCTAAACTTTAATTTATATATATATATATATATATATATATCATGTCTTATTTATGCACGAAAAAATATATATTAAATTTTAAAATAATAATATTTTTATATGATCTGAAAAAAAATTGAACAAAATCAAATAAAAATGATTTATTTGAAAGTCATTTTTCAAAGCTTCATTTCCCCAACCCCAATCATGTTTGCCAAAATCAGCAATTGCACAGCTACATAAATGTCAAAATTTAACTCTTGACCTTGACTTCTAATGTATGTTATTCAAAATTTCAATTTTACCCCCACCAATCCTTATATTTCTTCTGAAAGTCAACTTATTTTGCTTTTATATAGATTAAATATTTAAATAGCAGAATAATGAGTCAAAATAATGTTTTTTTTTTAACATATAACATAAACTTAAGGCTACAAATCAGCTAACATAAGAAGAGCACAGAAGTCATCCGCAACCTACATGTATAATAATATCTATAGGCTCTGTTTGGCACAGCTGCAGCTTCCCAGCTTTTCAGCTACAGCTGCGTTGCCCCAGGAAGCAGCTGCGGGGAAACTGACTGTCTGTTTGGTGCAGCAGTGTGAAAACAGTTGTGGGGCAGCTATTTCTGGAGAAATGACTATGCTGCCCCTGTTTGTTAAAACTGTTTATAAAACAGTTTAAAAACATACTGTAACCGCACAATTTTTTAAACTTCTGAAGCAGAAATTCATTTTTAAACATAACAGAAAGTTCATATACCATCACTTCTAAAAGAAGAAATTTTTTTTTAAGTTTAATAATTTAAACAACAAGTATTTTAACTCTCCCAGCAACCACACATTGACAACCATAAACAACCTAAACACCCAAATGCCGACACCTCATGAAATAAATCAAACCATAATCAACCAATACCGCAGCCGTCTTTGCAAAAATTGTATGAGAATGCAATTAAAGGATCGATAGAAGAAACATGCCAAGAAACAACACTGGCTGACCTATAGAGAAAACGATCTCGATAACAACATAGGTAAAAGCTATCAATCAGAGTCAAACACTCGCGATAACGAAACAATCAATCTCTTAAAATGAGAATAGCATTTCAACAGCCGAAGAAATTGATACCTGCTAGTCTGGCTGTCCCCCGCTTCAGCTATGAGTCTTGAGGTTCTCGCCTGGCTTTCGACTGAGGAGCGACGGAGGAATGGGCGGAGGAGCGACACAGGAAGGGCAAACAAGTGAGACAGCGAGGGCACGAGGTTGAGAAGAATGAAGGGCTCGAGGAAGAAGAACTCACGCGGGAAGAAGAAAGGAACGTGGGTTTTTGGCTGGGCTTGGCCGGAAGAATCGAGGTCGCGAAGAAGAACTCACACGGCAAGGAGGGAGGAACGAGGGTTTTTGGCGGGGCAAAAGGATCCTTTCGCGAGCTAAAAGATCTGTCGCGGGGTGATTATAGCTTCCGGCTTTTCTCCCCTATCACTCTGTCGTGCCGCGACGCTGCGAGCCAAAAGCCTAGTTTTCGCGATTCGGGGCCGCGAAGCCGCAAAAAAGCGGCCCCAAACGGA